GTGTCAGTGAAGGCTTTCCCACATTGTTCACATACATAGGGTTTCTCTCCAGTGTGTATTCTCTCATGTCTATGACAATTTTGATGTGTACTAAATGCTTTCCCGCACTGCTTACATACATAGGGTTTCTCCCCAGTGTGAGTTCTTTCATGTATCCGACAAGACTTGTGTGTACGGAATGCTTTTCCACATTGCTCACATACATATGGTTTGTCTACATCATGACTTCTTACATGTCTAAGAAAGATAATCTTATTACAGTAGGATTTCCCACATTGTTTACACACATAGGGTTTCTTTCCACTGTGACTTTTCTCATGTCTCTGAAAGGAATTACTATGAGGAAAAGTTTTTCCACATTCCTTACATACATAAGGATTCACTTCACTGGGATTTTTTTTGTGGATTTGAACATAATTGGGTGTACTGAAGCCTTTCATATCTTGCTTATGTATGAAGGGCTTCTCTCCAGAATGAGTTATTTTAGGGAGATCCCAGTAGGCTTTCCTACACTGCTTATATTCATAGGGGTTTTTTTCAGAATTTATCCTTTCATGTTTTGAAAAGGCTTGGAATTTACTGGTTTTTCTGTGTTCATTACATTTATACAGATTCTCTTCAAACCCCTCATACTCATATGGTTTGGATGCTGTGTGAGGTAAAGTGGCTATATTTAGTGATAAACAACCAATAAAAGGCTTTCTACAAGCAAGGCTTTCAACTTGCTTTAAACTAGTTTGTTTCATATTCATCTTAGGATTTGGAAGCCAAAGGAATGTTTCTTCATGTTGATTCCAACCTTCACAATGATAGAATTTCTGTACATTTTTCCTTCTTAGATTTCTACACGAATTTTTGTACTCTTCTTCAATTTGCTGGTTCTCAAAAATTCTTTCTATAGCAGCCATGTTCCTAAAGGTTTCACTCATCACATCTCTATAGAGTTTCTTTTGGGAAGAATCCAGCAGAGCCCACTCCTCCATGGTGAAGTTCACAGCCACATCCTCAAAGGTCACCGGTTCTATCACCATTTTGTGGCTTGAGGGTCTCCCGGTATCCTTTCCACACAGCCCACAAATAGTAGCAGTCACAGAAAAGGTGGTCTAGCCAGCTGGAGTGGATGTCAGCAATACAGCAGGATCTGAACTCTGACCTTATGTGCTTTTACTGTATAACGAGAAAATGGAATAGATAGAAAAATCATAAATTTCAAAAGTTCTCACTCATAAGTTTCAAAACACTGTCACTCATTCACTCAGCAATAATGTATTGAGAGATTAGTATGTGCAAAGAGCTGGTCTTGTAACTGTGGATATTACATGAAAAAGCAAACAATGATAATAACAATAAATCCAAAACACCTGTCCTTAACAGAAAAAACCTATGGGCCTATCACTTGGCAAATGTTTAAGGAAAATGTGGTATGTCCATATAATGTAATATTCAGCAATAAACAAGCACTCATGACTACTACAACATGATGACCTTTGAACACATTAGGCATTTTAAAAAGCCAGGTGTAAAGTGTCACTTACGTGTGGATTCTTCTAAATAACAAATACAAGAAAATCTAATCTACAGAGATAGAAAGATGAATAGTTGGGAGCGGGAACAGGGAATGACTGCCGTTATCACTTAGTGATTACTAGAGAAACATTTAATACAAGATATACAAGAATTTACAAGATGGTGTACAACAGCCGCCCACAGAATCAGACGTGGAAAAGTGCAAAAGGTCTGCCTGCCTGCTGGAGATCCAAAGGATCCAGTTGAAGGCCTGGAGCTCATTGCAGTATCTCATGCAAGTCTGTATCAGGAGGCTGAAGAGTCTGTGCTGGAAGCCAGGATATGATGTCCAAGGTGAAAGTGAAGACAAGCTCCTCCAAAGAAACAGAGCCTTTCTTGTTTCCCCTTTAAACCCTTCAGGCAACAAGTTGCCCTAGGGTGGGTCTTCTGTCTTCAGTAAATCCCTTCAGCCACACTCAGAATTATGCTGATCCACTTTAGCTGGGGTTTTCTTACAGTAACGCAATTTGTTAACTATCACAACCCACCGGTTGTCACTTGGACAACCAGACCTCTTTTTGAGCCCAAGTCTCCAGATACAAAGGCAAGTCCATAATTATGCCTGACGTATCAGTCAGGGTTTACTGGAGGAACAGACATAACACAAGATAAACAAATGTACAAGGAATTACAAGTTTGGCTTACAATGGTCAGCCACAGAGTTGGATGAGGAAGCGTGCAGAGGGTGTCTGCACGCTGGAGACGGAAGAGCCCAGCCCCGGGCCTGGAGCTCGCTGCAGTGTCCGTGCAAGTCCGTATCAAAAGGCAGATGGGTCTGCGACGGAATGCTGAAGAATCTACGATGAAGGCCAGAGAGCCAACACCAGAAGGCTGAAGAGTCCAGACGGAAGCCCAACAGTCTGCACCAGAAGCCAGGAGATGACCAAGCTGGAGGCGAAGACCGGAGCTCCTCTGAAGAACCAGCAGCCAGTCCTTCCTCAATTCCTTTTTTTATGCAGTCTACTTGCTCTGGGGAGGTGGGGGTCGTCCTCCACACCCACACCCTCTGCATGCCTGCCTCTTGCACAGGCTCAGGATGAATACAAAGTAAGCACCCTGGAGCCCTTCTGAGTTGCATAGTTAACCTTCTAAACTTCTCAAATTAACACAATAAACAACATCCCAGAAGGGTAAGGGCGTGTCCTTTTCACCCCAAGAGGCAGAACTGCTGAGTCACTTAGCCAAATCTCTAGACTCCCCAAGATGGCACAAGGTATCAACCATAACACCCACCATGTTATAACTATCCTGCATACAAATAGAAACACACCAATTCCCTCCCTAGAGCAGAAGGCAAGTTTTCTTTGGGTGATGCTTATTCCTAACAATTCATAACTAGAATATTATGATGTAGGCTTAAAATACTTAAGAACCAATATTAAGTCTATCAACATTATATTACGTGGGAAGCATATTAACAGAATTATCATAGTCACAATCCTTGTTTCTGTAGCTGATCACAGGGTCATAGTTGGTATTTAGAACTACCTTCTACTACCCATTCTGAATTCCCTTGGACTTCAGCAAGCATCTCAGCAGGTCTTGGTTCTTTCCCTGGTGGGGTGACCACATCTTCATTCCTGAAGGTTCTGGACCATTAGTCATTCTGCCTGAAATGGGTTGTTGTAGTTTTCCATCAACTTTAATAATACAGTATAGTAATACTAGCAGGTGCCCTAAGGGATCTCTTGAACTCCAACTATATTCTCCCTCCTTTCCACTGTAGAGTAATAGTCCAATTTCCCCTTCATAGTCTGAGTCAGTCACCCCCACCAAAACTGTAACTCCCTTTTTCGTTTGTTTCCTCAGAGGCATGAGATGAGCAACATGAGCATAGGGGGAGTCTTAACTTTCAGTTCAGTGGTATTTGTGGCGAGTGGCTAAAGCTGGAGACCAAGATCGATCACATGCAAGACAAACCACAAAAACAAGCTGTTTTAGCTCAGAGAATATGAGGTGCTCAGGCGAGCCAAAGTTGCTAGGCAGAGGGCTTGAAGTCGACATCAACCTCCTGAGTGTATAAATAAATGTGCTGCAGTGGTTGAGCAGCTCCTTTTCCTCCCAGCTGGAGGGCTCCACCTGACCTCAGCTTTCTGTATAGTGTCTCTTATCTTTATTTCTCCATCCTCCCATTGTCCCTTCCTCTGGGAACTTCAAGAGCTGTGTTGGATACGGTAGGTATTGTGCTCTGGGTTCTGCACAGGAGATTCTGGGCAGCCTTCTGTCCTAGGACACGTTTCCCTGTGGACCATCCCATTCACAACTATCTGAGGCCCAGGTCTCACCCTCCCTGCTCACCTGCCTTCCTGCATGTTCCCTGGGGCCAGTATCAAAAGAAAAAGAGGAAGAGGAGCTGCAGCAGCAGGCAGGAGGGCACAGAGACCCAGATCACAACCTTAGAGTTCCCTTGCAGACCTGTGCCAGATGTACTGCCTTAAACAGAAAAATCGCCACTTCACTGGGCACTTGGTGTACCCAGCCCACTGGGGTCTTTGCATTCCCCACCTCACACTCTCACAGCCCTGCACATGGGATTGCCACCCCCTCACACAGGTTACAGAGGAGGGAGGAGGCTTTCTGTTGGGAGCCACTGAAGCTGGAAAATAATTACAACTGCAGGATGAAGCCGGAGAATAGTGTAGCTCCTTCAAGGGTGTAAACAAGCCCTTTTAACTTGTTAACTCATTGCTGGGCAGCAAGGCAGAAATTAACCAACCTCTTGAGGGTATAAATAAACACTCCTACTGTTCAAGTCAGTCCTCATGCTCATCAGGCAAGAGGTAACTCCACCTGACCCTGGCGATTGTCTCTTGTCTTTATTTTCTAAATTCTCTTGCCATTTTCTCCTGGGGACCACTGAGAGACCACCAATTCCCACATTTGGCGCCCAACATGCCTCTCCTCCCCCAGTAAGGAATGGTTGGTGGGAGGACACTCCCCAGAATTTGTGCGCACAACGGGGTGGGGGGGGATTGGAAGGTCAATAGTTAGCACTGGAGTGTTATAATGACAATTATCAGGTGTAAAGAGCAGGGCATGGAGGTCTACTGACCTTAAACAATACAGTTACAAAAAAATAGGCTTAAGAGAAGACAAAAACTAGAAAAGTATGTTGAATTGCTAGTAGTTAAAAATGAAACAAACAGTTTCAAAAACCACACGTTTATAGATATATTTAAAAATGTTTGCTATTTTCATGGTTCCTGCCTTTACCTTTCTGGATTGTGGACAGATGGGGTTTTAGAACCACAAAGGATTCTGCTGGGAACTGTACTTTAAAGTTAAGACCTGAGCCCAAGCGGGACAAGGGTGGCAGCACTGCCGGGGTGGCGGGGGAGGGGTACAAAGCAGGTTCAGGGAGAGTGCCGGGCTCTGGTTCTAGGCAGACCCAGCTGGGACTTCCCAGCCACCATGCAGCTCATCCAGCTGCAGTCATGGCGCGTGCTGCCAGCTACCAATATGTGTGCCAGGAACCCAATGGGCAGGACATGACTGTGGTGCGCCCTGGATCTCCGTGCCACAAGCGCCACCGGCCCGGACAAGGGTGTGCCCGAGTTTGGCACAGGAAATTCATCTGGCTCAAATCAGTGCTTGAGCTCGGAATTCGAAAAAAACCACGACATCCAGTGGCCAGAGCTAGAGCTACAACTGGCGGGACAAGAAAATCCGTGCGCCTCTGCTCTGCAGCCTGCCTGCCGGCATTTGCTTGGGGAGGGGGAAGGAACATGGCAGACAGCCCACTCAGGTACTGAACGCTGCTAGCAGCTGGCCCTTCCCTGAGGCGATGGAGTGGAGGCCTGGACATCGGTTCCTCCTCCAGATTCATAGTAACTCCTAAAATGGGGCCCTAAACTATTTCTACTGGGGTCTACGGACCTTGCCTCAGGGTCCAGTGGGACTCCTGCTAGGCCACAGCAGTCTTATTTTAAAAGGTCAAAACCTGCTGTTAGCGATGCTGATTGTACAGGAAAAATCAAGGTTATGGTTCAATCTACTCAAAGCATTGTTCAAGTCACCCTAGACGTGCCTATCACTCAATTGGTCATTCTTCATTTGGCAAAAAATGAAAAATTTATAAATAAGAAAAGGGGGTCCAAGGGCTTTGGATCTTCTGACACCTATTAGGGTCAAAGATAAAACTGATTACTTAAAGGAAAAACATTTTTAAGGGCTCCTAGACACACGTGTAGATGGGCTCCAGGTGCGGCAGCTGCGAGTCCACAGGGTGTTGTCGGTATTTCCTGATTTAGAGGAGGTGCTAAATTGCTGAACTGGAAAGATACAAAAGGCCTTTCTGCTGGGAATAGCTTTGCAAGGAATAAAGCCTCACACAGAATTGAGCAAATATTAAAAGATAAAAGGCTTTTACATTTTCCCCTTAAGGTGATTAATTTAAAAGGCTGTTTCCATCCGCAAGATAAAAAGGTTGCCTTTAGTTTAAAACAAATCATATTTTCTAAGGTTTACAATAAGGGAGATATTTTTAAAAGATTATTAAAAAAACTCCATAATTTCCATAAATAAACCTTTGTCCCTTGTCTCAAAAAATATATATTTCAGTGATTAATTTGGTCTTTTAAAGTTATAATAAAATATTTTTCCTCATTTTAGATTATACAGCTAATAAACCTGTCTTGTTTTAATTAGTTTTCTTCTTGACATCACATACAGGATTTGCTACTGATTTATAAGTCCCTGATGCTCTCGTGATTCCTAGTGATGTTGACTGCCTGTCTTACAGTCCAAAATTAAATTGGTATAAAAAACCTTCAGTATTTCACAAATAGATATAAAAGTTTAAAATACAATCTAAAAGCAGTGTGGTTTAAACAGTCGCTTAATTTTGACATCCCATTTAAATAATGTCAGGCTAAGTGTTGGCCTCCAAAGAGTATAAGCTATGATACCATTTTCATATTTGGGTCACCTATTCCAACAATTTACCCAAACTAAAATACAATCTAAAAGCAGTGTGGTTTAAACAGTTGCTTAATTTTAACATCCCATTTAAATAATGGTAGGCTGAGTGCTGGCCTCCGAAGAGTATAAGCTATGATGACGTATTCATATTTGTGTCACCTATTCCAACAATTTACCCAAACTGTTTAGATTAATCTAAAATGATTTTCAGACTATTTGGTAAATTAACTGACTCCATCCAGATTTTGGACTAATTTCTCTGGCATGATTGTCATTCTTCTTCAGACAAGTTATTTCAAATTGTTTTTGTTTTCACAGATGGGTCATCTTAGGTTAAGAGAGGTTATATGATGGCTTCCTCTTCCAAAATATTGGATACAGGTTTCTCACTTTATGATCAGAATTCAAATTACAAAAACAAAAGGGGGAGTCAATCCCTCCCACTTCACTTGTTGATATATACTAATTAAACTTTTAAAATTTTACAGAAGATGGAAGTACAGCAGCAGAAAGACAATTCCATCAGGTAAAAGAAAAAAGGTTAAGAAGGGTCCTTTGGGGAGATCTCCATAAAGGACAATGGAAGGGACCTAGCCTACTACTTACCTGGGGTAGAGGGTATGCTTGTGTTTTTCCAGAGAATGCTATGCGACCTATTTGGGTACCAGAGTGTGCTGTCTGGCTATATCATAAACTCAGATCTGGAGAAGTTGGTTCTACCTTTCAGGAAACTGATGTATAGTTCTGCCATAGTGATGCTTCAGAGACTATTTTACAGCTGAGAGATAACAATGAGGCTAGATTCAACCTGCGGCCTATTGAAAAAACTGACAAAATGGAAATCTAAGATCTAAATAGGTAATAAAGTATATAGGGATACTAAGCTGAAAGCTACCAGTATTCTTAAGAGGATAAAATACAAGATATACATATTCATTATAGATAAAAGATTCTATTCCTTCCAAAGATTTTCTAAGAGATCTCTGCTGACAACAAACTCTGACTAGTCCATTTAAATTATAAGGTTTCTAAAATTGTAATAGCGTTAACTATAAGTCAATTTTGTCAAAAATATATTCAACTGCTCTGTGATCTTGTAAAGATGTTTGTTTGTTCTGTGTACTGGTTTGCGTGTTTGTCTGTCTTTCTGTGAACAGCTGTTCCCCTTTATTTTGAGTTCAACAATTTTTCCTTCATCATTTGTTCATAGTACAATTGGGTTACAGACTTAAAAGTATGCTTTCGCCTAAGTTACCAGCTGGTTTAAATGATATCAAAATTAAGATATTTAACCACAGTCCTTAGGATGAAGAGACATTATTTGGGTAGGAATCTAAGAGGTGAATAGAGGAGTGGCCAACCTTTATTCATTGATAAGGAGCCCCCAGTGATCTTCATAGTCTCTTGGGAGACACCCCAACAATTGGGTCATCTGGTCAAAAGAAAGTTTTTCAGTAAAAAATAGGGTTTTCTCATAAAATATGCTCTTGGTACAAAACTAAATTTTAACGAAGGTTTTCAAGTGTACGGTAATTCATTAGTGTTAATCTCATGGTGCATTAAATGTATTCATGATTCTGGATGTACAGGTCTTCCAAAATGTAAAACAAAGGTTGTTTATTGTGGTAAGACTTTCCTTCTGATTCAGACCTCTGCCTTTAACAAAAATTTGTGATGTATATCCCATTAAAGGACAACAAATTAGATAAAAGCTTCTTATATATTGAAGAGATAATTGGTTTAAAAGGTCATGTTATGTCATAATGAAAATTTAAGTATGTTACAAAACGTCACCATGATTGTCATGTAGCAATGTTATGTATGGTTTTGATTTCTAGATTTTTGTGTAAAAATATGTAACTGTTGTCTGATTAACATTCTATGAGGATTTAAATATTAGGATATCCATGGCTGTTACAAAAAATAATGGTTCCATTTGTATGTTCTAAGGTGTTTGCTATTCCGATCAGATTGTAATATTAAGCTTACTGCCTCCCTTACAATATTATGTCATTGATCTTCTGTGCTGGATGGTTAACAACTGAGGTTTGGAGACCAAAAATTCAAGAGAGAAATTGGGCTAGAGCACAGCTAACATTTTGGCTACATCCTCCGAGGTCAGTAAAGTCTCAGACATAAGAAAACCTCTGCTATGATATCCTATAACTCAGTAGAGTCCCTGATCTTCTGATCAAGGAGATTATGGGACCACAGAGAAAAGTGACTCCACAATGTAGAGTGTGCCTAAGGAGAGTCACTAGAAGAGAAAAAACAAATCTCTCAAGCTTTCACAAAAAGCAACCTGGTCAAGCAATGGCCATGACTCATCCAGATGGCTGACACTGACAGAAGATCAAGAGATGCTGTACGTGGTTCCAAGATGATTCCTGAGGAGACTTAACTGACCTTGATAGCAAAGGTTAAATTTTTATTTAACCTTTATTCCTTATTAAGGAATAAAGTCTCACTTTAACTTGGTCTTGAACACGCAGCAAAAAAGTGTAAGCACAAGATGTAAAGAAACAGTGCCACAGTAATAGGTTAGCTGTAAAAGGTTCACATCACCAACAACTTCTGACAGTTGCTAGCTAGACTGATAACTGACCGCTGTTATGGACTTTGGACTGTACTCTTCAAGCACAGCCTTTCCAGCTAATTTCCCATCATTTACAAAGCAAAGAGTGAGATGTTGGGAGCTGCTGAAGCTGGAAAATAATTATACGCGCAGGATGACAGGAGCCCAAGAACACCCGAGAACACAGGAGCTCCCTGAAGTGCATAAACAAGCCGCTGTAACTTATGCACTGATTGCTGGGCAGTGAGGTGAGAAATTAACCAACCTCTCGAGGGTATAAATAAATGCCCCTACTATTGAAGTCAGTCCTCATGCTCATCAGGCAAGAGGACCCCAGCTATTGTCTCTTGTCTTTATTTTCTAAATTCTCTCACCGTTTTCTCCCAGGGACCACCAAGAGACCACCGAGTCCCACAGTTTCCCCCGTACATTTGCAGTTAACATGGGTTCCCTGGGGCCAAGGGACAGGGACCCAAGACCCGGTCAATCTGAAACTTCCCGACTCCATCACAAACACTTTCTGTTTCCTTTTTTTTCCCTGTTTAGCAGCTTTGGACATTCTCACTTGAAACGTCCCCTCTCTTTACAGTAGGTCAACTGGTCCGGATCTAAGGGAATGCAATTGCCCTCTCCTTATTTACCTTTCTTTCCTCTCTCCCTAGTTTCCAACTGGGCCTCCTTCCTGTAAACTGCTAACATTTCTCTCCTCTGCTGCTGCTTAAACTTCCATTCTGTGTCCTCTGTCATGAAATGAATTTTGGGCAATCTCTTATCAGCTGGGAAAAGTTCATCCCTGCAATACCTTCCAATTTCTGCAGCTTGTGACATTTTTGTCACCTTACGTAGGTCAGTGGGATGACAAGCTGCTGCAGAAAGCAGCCTTTCTTCGAAGTCTGATGATGTGTCCTGTATCTCACTTGTTTCTCAGCCACCTTTAAAAATCCTTTCTCTCTCCTCTGAAGAAAACAAAGTTAACATTATCTGTTGGCAATCACCCCAGGTAGGATGGTAAACCTCAAACACCACTTCCAGCAAAGTAATCAAAGCCTGAGTTTGCTCTAAAAAGAGGGATTTTAAGTTCTCCAATTGCAGAATGAGAGTTTCCTCCCATCCTCATCACAGCAGCCTGCCAGAGGTAAGGCTGGGATGAGACCTGAGGAGGAGACTTCTGCATCTGAATCTGCTATAGGCTTGAGGAAAGGCTGCCTGCAGTGGTGAGAACAGAAAGCCACACGGTCAGTGTCACAGCTGAGGAGGAATCTCCCAGAGGGAAGCAAGTGGGTGTGCAGGAATGGGGGGTGGTGCTTGGCTGAGTTGGGAGACAAAAGGATCATCCTTCTCAGGTGCTGAGGGCAAAACAGGGGGTTTCTGCTTAGGGGACCTTTCCTTAATTACCAGAACTTGATCTGGAAATCCAAAACACACATCACCTTTAAACTTGTCAAAGTTTCTGATCATGCAATTCAGCACAGTTGGTTTGCTGTCTGCAGCCCCCATCACAGAAATCGCAAAAACATTCCTGCTCGATCCACACACCAAGCAAAAGTATAAAACTATAAAAGTATAAAACGAATGCGCTTTGACACAATGTAATGGGTTAACTGAATTTTGTGCTACAACTGTGGGAAATTACTAGAAGGAACTTTGTGCTCTGTGTTTCCTGCTACCTACTCTGAAAGTACGTGGTCCCTCCCTAACCGTATCTTGTAAAAACAGCTTGCTTGGCAGGCCCCAGATGGGGCAGGTTCTGCTTATCACTAAGCTGCATAAACCCCTAAGTCATAAACAGCTTGCAGCTGCACTATCCAGAATGTGATTTTCTTGCTATAAAAGACTGTGCTTAACTCTGTTTCAGGGCTGGTTGGCGCTTCCCTGCGTGGAGTTCGCCGGCCAGCCGCCGGACTGGCTAATAAAGGCTCACCAAATTCCAATCTGTTCTGGTCTTGGTCTCTATTTAGTTCGGACCTGGTACACACAATAGCAGTGATTACAGTAATACGGAGTAGATGTGCGGGCTCAGGATCTTTTCAAACTTCCAAGTAAATAACTCCCAGGGACAGAAAAGGCAGGAGCAGGACAATCAGGACTCCTCTGGCCCAAGCAACAGATTCAGTTGTAACCTCAGGACACAGGCGCATCAAACAGGCACACTGGGGTTGACGTAGAACAGACAATTCAAACAAACAGAGACAGGACAAGCAACAATATCCCAGGAAAGCAATTTGGTCCCCCTCCGACTCCTTCTGCCAATTTAAAATTCTAGCCTGGTTTTGAGCAAAACAAACCCAGACACAACCACTGAGCAAAAAAATGACTAAGCATAACAAACTTCCCAGGATTTCCTCCTGAGAAAAAAAAACAAACAAACCCCTCAAAAGCTCTGGCCAGAGGGAAATACCAAACCTCTGAAGGCTCCTGCCCGGGAGAGAAAACAAATGCTACCCACGTCTGGGAGCAGAGCCCGTCTAAACTACCAGAAAAACTCTCATCAGAAATCGAAGGAATTGAAAGCCAATTAGGTCTTACACAGTCGGTGGGTGTGACTCTGTTTATCCCTCTTCGTGGCCGCAGTCTCCAGTTCCCAGCTGCTCCCTGACGGCGAGCTGAGCTCAGCTAGGATGCTGAAGCCACCCAGAAGGGGCTTGAGGGCCCTGAGGCCAGGAGTCCCCTCAATAGGACAGTCTTGCCTGTGGAAAATCCCAGATGAGCCCCCCACTGTAGTGGCAACCGGGCTGACTTCCACAGAAGACTGAAGGATTCAATTTAGGGTAAACAAGAGTTTATTGAAATTAGGCTGGCCACCAAACATCTCCCGACTGTCCGCGCCGTTTGTTTCAACTTAAATACACTTCTAGGTAACAGAATGGAATGTCTCAGCTGTTGACTCAGGTGGCCACACGCTGGTTTTCCTTCCGTGTGGCTGTTGTAACCAAGAAAGGGACCCCAAAATTTGTTCAGAAGAATGAGACGTCTCCTTAGGAAAAAGAAGCACTTTATTTAAGCTGGTACCCAGCGGCACAGAGTACAGATGAATTTTGTATTGCTGCGCCCCGAGGAGAAATGGCCAGGGGTTTATAAAGGGGAAAACCGCAAAGGGTCAGGAGGGGGAGCATGGAACAAACAGTACTCAGATCCTGCTTTTGCAGGGTGTTATGTGCATCTGGTGGTCTTCATTCTCGGAACTGTTGTTTTCACAAGAACACTGAGTTAATGAGCTGTCTCTTGTGGTTTGGCTAGACCTGGGAACCGCAACAGGGGATTTTTATGGGTACAATAGGTGACTTGAAGGCAAGGGGAAATGGCACATACAGAACAGGATGGCGGGGCTTTGGTCAAGGTATAACAGTGGCCAGGTCACAATGACATTAACATACGAACTCGTTCTGTCCATTCCCCTTTTTACAACCATACATTTTCTTTTATGGTTACAATGTTTAACTAGGGCCAGGGAAAGAATGAAACAACCCAGGCAGGGTCAGAGATGGTAACCTCCCCTCCGGGTGTTCTCTGTCTTTAAAGAAACATTCCAGGTCAAGTTAACTCTTCATAACTCCCCGGGATGCTTCTCAAGACACATCTGAGGCTTGTACTAAGACTACTGTAATTGAAGAATGATATACTAAGAGTCACCATCCCCTACAAAACAATTCTCAAGCTGTGTCCAGGCAGTGAAAACAAACAGTGCATGCTGGAGGGCCTCAAGGTCCTTCCTGAAATTCTCCCCAATCCGAAATTACAACATACAGTTGCTTCTTTCTTTCACATTTTTATTTTTAACTTTTTTTTATACATCTGAAACCTCTTTTGCTGGGTACTCAGGATTAAATCTGGCCTCATGCTTGCTATGCAAGGACTCTAGCACTGAATGACATATTTAGCCTTTTTAAATTTTTATTTTGAGACAGGGACTCCCTACATGGCCCAGCCTCCTGAGTAGCGGGGATTACAGGTGTGCACCACCAAGCCCAGCTATTTGAGACATTCTGTCAAAGTCTTTTCAAGATGAAGTTCAGTGCGGCGGGACGTAGAGTCTGAAAGATCAGGCATAATGTCCAGCCCTGCTACTTACTGCCTGTGTGACCTTGCCTGAGTCATTCCTCTTCCTTTCCAGCGTCTCTACATATACTGACATTTCCAGGATTGCTGAGACACTCAAATCACAAACTCGGACATTTATCCAAGTTTACTGAGACCCGGAGGAACCTAAACCGTGCAGCAGTCTAACTCGCTCCAGTCTCACTTTCTCAGTATCTAATTCCAGGTGCGCACGGGCCACCAGGCGACCGGGGACTCGGCTCCGCCCAATCCGGAGTTCACGGCTCGCGAACTGCGGGCCGCTCCGTACCAAACGCAGGCGGCTCGTCGTCTGGACCTTCTCGGCTACCGTCCGTCCTGCAGCCCGTCGCCCCCGACCCCCACTACCAGACTCCACCGCCGCAAGCCCTGAGGGCTTCGGCCACGCTGGCCCTACCTGCCGAGTTCCGCCGCACAGCCGATCCTCGCCGTCCAGGCCCCGCCCCGCGCCGGCCGCTCTCCCCGGGCCGCCTCACCCCACTCCTGAGCGCTCGGTCCGCGTCCTCGCTTCTCTCAGACCGGGCCACCACCGTGGGACAGAGTCAGCCTGGCGCCTCTAGCAGCAACTCGCACTCCAGACGCAGTCGGCCCCTACACCCGCGCCGCGCACGCCGAGCCCCTGCGTCAGGCTCCCCCGCGCCGTC